ACAGTATCAATATATGTGATAAGACGAAAGAAAGTGTATGGTTCAGAAAGAAGGAAAAAAAAGAACTATAAACTGATAAAGGGGGGCTACTTCCTGGTTTATTACTGTAGGCCCTAACGACAACATCCAAACTTTACCCTGAGGAAGTGAATAAAGCTTTGCGATGTTTGAGACACTTGACGGGAACGTCAGCTGACTTTAGCAGCTGAAGCACTAAGCAACGCTATGCTACATGACCATGGTGATCATTGGAACCGACAGTTTCTCAAAATTCTTTAATTTAAATACATAGACATTCCATATTTGGCTTGAATTGAGATTTCAATCAGATAAGTCATTAGTGTCATCATCCAAAGCAGCAACTTTGGTACAGGCAGTTCAGCTTAGAGCAGTGCGGATCCAGAAATTCCAAGTAAAGGGGGTCCAGGGAGGGACATTCACAGAAGGAGATTAGTGTAGACAAACCTAAGCCCCACCATGGTTGGGGCTGAGGTAAGAAAATTTATGATTATTGCACCTCTAGATGGCCGGAAATGGAGTCCTCGGACCTAAATTTGATTAAAATTTTCCTGTCTACTTCGTGAATACTTATCTGGATAAACCGACTAATTCCCTACTCTTGAATCCGCAACTGCAGAGGTTCATAAGGTGGCCCTACAATACATCATTGTGATATTAATTTATTTAAAAAAACAATTCCCTACAGTGGGCACTTCAATAACATAAGTCATTAGTGTCATCATCCAAAGCAGCAACTTTGGTACAGGCAGTTCAGCTTAGAGCAGTGCGGATCCAGAAATTGCAAGTAAAGGGGGTCCAGGGAGGGACATTCACAGAAGGAGATTAGTGTAGACAAACCTAAGCCCCACCATGGTTGGGGCTGAGGTAAGAAAATTTATGATTATTGCACCTCTAGATGGCCGGAAATGGAATCCTCGGACCTAAATTTGATTAAAATTTTCCTGTCTACTTCGTGAATACTTATCTGGATAAACCGACTAATTCCCTACTCTTGAATCCGCAACTGCAGAGGTTCATAAGGTGGCCCTACAATACATCATTGTGATATTAATTTATTTAAAAAAACAATTCCCTACAGTGGGCACTTCAATAACATTTAATGTTTTATGTGTTATTGTAATGAGACTTGGCCCCTATATATAGTAAACTTACCATGTACTAAGCCTCACAATGAGACATTGCAAATTCCCATAAATGAAACTTGGCTACCTAACCCTTAGCTATAATACAATGTAAACTTCCTCTTCACTAAGCCTCATGCCAAGACTTGTTCCTTAAACCCATGGCAGTAGTAAACTCCCTTGCATAATTCTTGTAAGGGGTAATTCACAATTATCAACATTTTCACAAGTGTACAAATGGTACTCTTTTTCAGTACACCCTCCCTCCCCTCTAAAAGTGTATAAAAAAATGTTGATTTTGCATAACCATTCTCCATTTTGTTTTGAAGTCAACTAAGCAATGTTGTTTAAAAATGAATATTATATTCATGGTTACATTATAATTTTACCATTTTTTTTACATGTTATTTTGCATTTTGAATCAACATTTTATGCATATGTAAGAGTATACAAATTTGTCTACTCCCTTCCCTCTACTTGTGAAAATGTTGATAATGTTGAATGACCCCTAATGATATATTATAATTATTATTAAATGGGAAGCATGTTTAATCTTACATGGCAAGTGATTTAATATATCAAAATGTTTGATTATTATTAAATATAAAAAAGTGCATTTACAATGACCAACCTATTGTTTTAAATCATCCATTTATTGTGTTTTTTAATTATAATTGTTTTCATTATACATTGTAGTGATATTCTATCTTAAGTCTATGAAAAGAGACTTTATCAATAATATACTAAATATTCTCTCTTTTGTCACCTGACATCAGTTGCCTTGACCTGTGCATGAAAATACAGTTTTACTCTAGTTAAATTTAATTTAATATAATATTTATAGATACATGTATCTGTAAGATTAGCATATTATTTCATTGCGAATATCTTAATCTGTAATAGAAAACTTTTAAGTTATAGATTTTCTTTTTATATTGATGTGGTTACAAGTATTTTCATTTAATATTAATAGATATTTTCTATAAAATCTATAAATTAAATTCTAATATTATGTTAGTATGAATATATGGATCTGTATGGAATAATATTATGAATTATAGATTAATAATGAATTAATGGTTCAAGTAATTTCATTTAATATTAACAGATATTTTCTACGAAATCCATAGATTAAATATTACAAATATTTTGTCAGTATGAAGATTTTGATCTGTATAAAATAATAATGAATTATAGATTAATATCAATAATTCATATATGGTTACAAGTAATTTCATTTAATATTAACAGATATGTTCTACAAAACCCATAACTTGAAGCAAGAAAATATTTTTCTTATTAATTAACTTAACTAACATAAATAAAAGACCTACCCCTTGAATTTGAATTTTCGTAGCTAATAAGCCTGCAAGTGAGTGTTCAATCTTATTAAGAGCTACAATGGGGTTGTAGACAGTGGTGGCGCCCTCTGGACCTCTACCAACTCTTCACCCCTGGATCCCACCAGAAATTGTTGGACCACTTTTCTGTTGTATTAAATGTTTAAAAGTTTTCCAAATTTGAATATTTTGATGTATTGGTTTCTTTGAAAAAAATAAATAAATAAAATGATTTTGTAAAAGTTTTACTATATTAAATGTGAAAGTTTTTATAACTTGTAGTAAACTTTGTGCGTGATCCCTCACTAAGTGTGAAATTAAATCAAAGAGAGTGCAAATAAATGATTGATAAGGCTTATTGGAGCCAATTCAACTTGCATTTTTCTTAGAATACAGCACAGGATGCAACCTAACTTTAACCAATGATTGAAATTATGCACTGACCCTTCAAAATTTTATACAAAATTGTAATTTGACTAGTAAATCCTACTACTGTACTCTGTCTGCGGTTTGGATCGCTTAGATATATTTGGCAATAAATTACATCAATTAAACTATAAAAGTATGCAGTGTGCTTTATATGTAACATTGACTTTTATCTAAGCATATTTATGATGGTTCACCCCACAAAGCCATACACACAACCAAAATGCTAATGGTAATTTTCAACGAGTACTGGATACTACTCTTTAGATAAGCAAGTAAAAGGGTACATCATTAATAGGAATGGTTTGCAAAATGAAAATAAGTTTTAAGGAATTTTATATTATTAATTTTTAATTAGGACAATTCTGCAATCCTCCTTTGAAGACCCCTTCATCGTACATGGAAATTCCTTGTCATCTGATATATTGATATGTTGCACACCTTCATGTGAATGTTGTTACAACTGCAAATATTTTGTATATCACCCTGAACAATTTATTTGTGAATGTAAAAATAATACACCAATTTGTAATGAATACTTGACCTGGGGTTGCACTCTCCCAAGGTGAAGTTGAAAGGTCAAATTTGGGTTTTTGCAGGTGTATATACACATTCACAGTTGGTTCAGTTGCCGTTAGGGAATGATTAGAATGACCAGTTACTGTGGTATAGAATAAGATGTAAGGTCAAGTTTATTTATAGCTGTATAGTCTGCAGAATTTAGATAGTGACCGTATACATGTGACTGACTGTCCATGATCCAGTATGTAGCATGGCTACATGCAAGCTTTCAATAATTATGAGATAACGATTCAGTTTCAGGCTGTCCGTATTTTCAATTGTAAATTTTAGTGTTCCTTTTAAATTTTTCATGTTGTTAAAGCTAGTATCCAGAGGAAATATGTCTTTGATATGTTGTAGAAGTGATGTTTTCTAAGACACAAAAAGCATATTTGACAAAAAGCTCGAAAAAGATTTAATGAGATACAGATTTTTGAATTTTAAATACTGTGGGGAAAAGGGGACATAACCACCCTTTTTTCCACATATCAATCGTTTTTTTTCCCTCTGGAGCCTGACTTTAAACCACATTATTATTATTAGCATCTTCCTATACATTTTGTCCCTTTTAAACCAACAGATCTCTAGATACTGACATTTTCTTTCAGCCTGATTACAATAAACAACCATTTCAATCCTATTGTGATGCAGCACATCGCATTCTTATCTAGACCATTTAAATGTCAAAATGTGTTCTGCGTGTGCAAATATCACGTAATACTGTGTGGATGGGGCACTCAGCATGCCCTTGTGCAAAGGTCTATGATGATTATGTATCCAATACATCCATGATCCAATGGCCAGGAATAATAATGCTGGTGATGAATACATCCCATGATCATTGGGGTAATAAGGCATCCAACGACCAGGGATAATAAGTGCCGCTTAAATGTGCATCATTACAAGTGCCAAGGCCTAAGTATTATGCCATAGAGAGGAGTCCCTATGATTATATATTCCATTGGGATGGGAGTACTTCAGAAAAGAAAACGTAAAAGATTTGTTTTTTTTTAACAAATAGGAAAAAAACTAGATGATTGACGGTAAGGCGCGATCTACAAATTATCCCCAACGACAGAAA